TAAATAAATGTCCAGGAGTTCAAGATTGTTGGAAGATGGAGAGGGGCGCGTTGTCTATCATAGTTTCTCCGTTGTAATAGGGTGGCACACCTTGCCTCTCTTCGCTTCTCCTCTCCCAGGTTCTTACTGTTCAGCTTCCCCTTGGGCAACCTGAAAAATTGCTGAGGAGGAGGGGAGGGTAATCTACGATGGACTGTCACCCGATCCAGGGGCTGTGGGGTGGGGGGTGGAGTAGCATTGCTCCTAGATGGTTCTTTATATTACCGAAGCTAAACATGAACGCGCTCAGCTTGGGTAGCTGTTCAGGGGATAGGTTTGAAACAGTTTTAAGTTTTCTAACCTAAGACATACGTAGCTTTTAGAATATTAGTTAAGTTAGACCTGATTTATAATTATTTCTTTTAAATATCTGTCGAAGATTGCCAGAAGTTTTCTTGTCGAAAGTGATTACCTTAATCAACTCGTCCTCAAAGTATTCACTAATTTATATATTATTCCCAGATTGCTCGCTCGGAACAGGAACACATTGAAGAAGAAAGAAAGCTTAAACNTCCGTTGTAATAGGGTGGCACACCTTGCCTCTCTTCGCTTCTCCTCTCCCAGGTTCTTACTGTTCAGCTTCCCCTTGGGCAACCTGAAAAATTGCTGAGGAGGAGGGGAGGGTAATCTACAATGGACTGTCGCCCGATCCAGGGGCTGTGGGGTGGGGGTGCTCCTAGATGGTTCTTTATATTACCGAAGCTAAACATGAACGCGCTCAGCTCGGGCAGCTGTTCAGGGGATAGGTTTGAAACAGTTTTAAGTTTTCTAATCAAAGACATACGTAACTTTTAGAATATTAGTTAAGTTGCGCAAACTAGTCTAGACCTGATTTATAATTATTTCTTTTAAATATCAGTCGAAGATTGCCAGAAGTTTCCTTGTCGAAAGTGATTGCCTTAATCAACTCGTTCTCAAAGTATTCATTAATTTATATATTATTCCCAGATTGCTCGCTCGGAACAGGAACACATTGAAGAAGAAAGAAAGCTTAAACGTATGAAGGATAAACAGAAGCGAACACAAAGAGAGCAGACAGAAGCTGCAGTGTGTGCAGCGAGGGAAAGGTCGGCAGCAGAAAAGGA